AAATGGGCTGTATTTGTATAGTGCTTTACACTAGTCCCTATCCACCCCATACCGGACTGGTCATGCTACATTGTAGCCACAGCCACCCTGGGGCGCACTGACAGAGGCGAGGCTGCCGGACACTGCCGCCCCCAGGCCCTCTGACCACCGCCAGTAGGCAACGGGTGAAGTGTCTTGCCCAAGGACACGATGACTGAGACTGTCTGAGCCAGGGCGCGAATTCATGGGGCCCCATGACCGTGAATGAATGAGAGGCCAAATTGAAATTGGTTAAGGGTTATGATTATTATGGACCTGTTCTTCAAACTATTCTATAATGTCTCATTTGTATGAGATTGCTAATCGCCACATTTGTATTTAGAAAGTATGGGCGTTTTATGTATTGTGACATGCTGTCCTCTTTGCTTATACTAATCGTCTGTCCTCTTCTTGAGCAGATCATTCTTTTGGATGAAGCCACTGCCTCCATAGATGCAGAGACGGATGCTCTGATCCAAAACACCATCCAAGAAGCCTTGCGTAATAGCACTATGCTCACAATAGCTCATCGGCTCAGCACTGTGATGTATGCAGATCGTATTCTGGTCATGGATAATGGACAGGTAACAACCCCAAATATGCACAGATTAATGTTGTGTCATCTTATGCTTACTAATTGCTCCATATGACAGGTGGCAGAGTTGGATGATCCAAATACACTGAAGCAAAAGCCATTCTCTATGTTCTCATTACTGCTGACTGCTTCAAACACTGTAAATTTGTGAAACAAAGTAAACCTTGAAACCAAAGAACATCTGTGGAGTAGGCACATGTATTTACTATTTTAATGACTATTCTGTATATTTAAAAATGTTAATTATTTTATTGCCTTTGTCTTTAAAGTTTAAATCTATAATTGTGTATCTATAATTTGTTGTGTTTTAAAAAAATCTACAGTAAATAAAATATTGTAACAAACTGTGAAACCATGTTTTGCCAACTTACTGCAGTTATATTCCAATGTTGCTGACAAAATGTTGAGTTAAATTATTCATAATTTAAGAGTTAAACACATCCCCATCTTATTAGCTTTTAGCCTATTGCTTGTTTTTGC